TTTTAGGTCCTAAAGAAGCATCGAGGTCTTTACATCAAGTTCAGTGGTGTCATTGTTCTACTAATGATATTTTGCGAGATATAGAAAGATTATATAATCATGAGTTCGAGGATGCAGATGGGTTTCGTAATGGATATTCTGTCGAAGATAAAAGAGCTCTAGAAATAGTTAGTAATTCCTTTAGACTGGAAAGTGGCCATTTCCAAGTTGATCTACACTGGAAGTATGATAAGCCAAGGCTACCGAATAATTTGGAACTAGCTGAACGTAGACTAGAGTGTTTAAGAAATAGGTTTATGAAGGATAATAGTCTTCTGGAGACATATCAACTTGTAATGAATAAACATTTAAGTAAGGGCTCCATCATTGAAGCTAGTAAGGAGGAATTCGACGGTGATTCTGTTTGTTGGTATATTCCTCATCATCTTGTTATCAACCCTAAAAAGCCTGGTAAATTAAGAATTGTTTTTATTTGTGCAGCTGTCTATCAAGGTTGTTCTCGTAACAATCAGCTTTTGAGAGGACCAAATACTGTAAATATTTTAATTGGTATACTTCTACGATTCAGATTATGCAACGTAGCATTAGCCACTAATTTCGCCCTTTGGAAGACGGTAGATCTATTAGTAAAGGAATTGAATAAAGATGTCCAGGAAGTTGTAGATAAGAATTTTTATGTCGACGACTATTTAACTTCAATTGATAATGTGCAGGATGCAATCGAGCTTGCAAAAACCCTTGGTTTACTACTCAGAAAAGGTGGGTTCAGACTTACCAAGTAGATAAGTAACTGTTTACAGGTTCTCGAATCAATTCATCCAGAAGAGAGAGCAGAAGCTGTAAAGAAGATTGACTATGATAGGCTTCCTACGCAACTCACATTGGGATTATTTTGGAATACTATGGTTGATGTGAATAATAAAGGTGATGCAAGCGAGAGTGGAATCACTATAGGTAGTGCTGTTTCTTCAGCTGCTGTTACCAATGTAGCTTCTTTGAGTACTTCGGGTCAAGACGAAATTGGATGTTTGAGCGTGAAAAATGTAGGCGTCGGTGGCAATAGCGTTAGCCACAGTGATGGCACTACTGAGGGGGCTAACATTCGGTACCCTAGGTACGATGAGGAGTCATCTAGGTTTAATGGACTTGCTGTTGTGTTGAGTATGCAGCATGAGGAATCGAGCATGGAATTGTCCACCTGTCGCACTCCACCATCATTGACTTGTGCTACAAGTATCGGGATGAGCACTACCAACAGTGATAAGATAGAAGAGGTTAAGAGCATTCCTAGTAAGGAAAGCAATGTTGACCGTGTAGGGTTGGACACTGTGCATGAGTCGACTGGATGTCATGAGAAGATGACTGCTACTAGTACAGATGCGGCTACTAATGATATTAGCATTGATAGTACTGCGGGTAATAGTGATCGATGGAAGTTGAAAGACACTCATTTTCGTCGAAATGATCGTACGTTACGCTCACATACTGCTACCCAAGCTAAGAAGCATAAGAAACGGCATGATGCTACTATTATTAAGAAGCGTAAACTTCGCTCTCTTTCGGATGCTGTGACTAGCAATGGAAATAGTAGTCATCAGAATCTTAGTAGTGACAGCGATAGTAAAGAGACAGAAAGTGTGAGCAGTCCACCTATAGTGACTAGTCGATCAACTTCATCGAATGAGCATTATAGTGTTTTGACATCATCGAAACCTGCCGCGAATGTTAAGTTGATTGAAGATGCACAAGGTTGTGCAACTGTAACTGTTTCTACTCCGGTTGACTGTCAGTCGAGTGATGATGAGAAGGAAGCGTCTGATGGTAACAGCCAGTCTACAGTTTTCATGATAACAGTGCTATTGATGCGCATGTGTCTTGTGTCTCTGAAACGGAACATGAAGAACAACAAGTGAGTTTGTCGGTTTCGAATTGTGACACTAATGCTGTTCTTTCATGTAGCGAGATGAGTTATACAAAATGGAAGAGTTTCACTCTACGGGTGCTAGTGTAGACAGAAACAACGTGACGTGTCTGAGAGAACGGAATCATGTTGACGATGATAATAATCTGGATGTCAATGATGTGACAAATGAGTTGCCGACGATGACGAATGCTGATCGAACCTCCTCTGTATCAGGAGATGGAGAGATAAATATTGATCCTATGTTATGCCACTTTAAGTCTTCGGGAGACGAGGAAATATCAAAACTGGAAATCCCAACCTTGCATATTATTTGTGGGTAAAGAACTTCTGTTGATAAGTCCGAGTGATGGTATTCCACCATCTGCGATGGCACGACAAATTCTGTTGACAATGGCAATAAATGGTATAGCAAACTTTGAAACTTTATCGAAGTGTTTGTTCTACAGACCTCACCTAGTGCCGAAGTTATGAAATTCATTATGTCATCAAAAACTAGATAAATGACTTTCTCAATGATAGGATGCATTGAGTAAAAGGAGCCTAATGAAAATGGGAATAGGTAAGAAGTGGGGCTCGCCAAGATACAATAATAAGCAACGACCTTAGGATTAGGAGTGATTGTAAGACTGACTGTGTCGGTCGATTGATCGTGTAGCAACATTATGGATCATTGTGGAATAATCAATTGAATGGAATTCACTGTTGGGGATGTTAGATCCCCAAAACTCGCTTGATAAATGCCTTATTTTGGATTTCACGTTTGCCAGCATGGGCTGATCGGTTGACCTTGGGATTTCATTCCGCACCAAGAAAATCCATGGCTGTGATTGACTGCTAACTCCGCCAGTAGAACCTTCGGGGCTACTGCCAGTCCCAAGCCCGGGTAAAGGAGGAGGGTTGGACATGGGGTTGGCGACCCCATTCCGTCAAAAACTAACTTGCCAAAAAAACGCTAACCAGAAAAAATAATTCAAACCATTTCAACTCTGCCCTGGGATTTGGAGGAAGAATTATGACGTCGCGTGATGAAAGCCGAGTTCCCTCGGAAGTCACGGGGCCAATGCCTCTTCTCACAACTAGAGCAACCATTTTCTTAGGTACCTGGAACGTTCGCAAATTGGGGGAGACTGGAAGACTATTTCAAGTTGCGGCAGAAATGAAAAGATACAACCTCGAGGTGCTCGGCATCAGTGAAACACATTGGACACAGGTAGGACAACTGAGACTAGCTTCAGGGGAACTGCTGTTATACTCTGGTCATGAAGAGGAAAACGCTTCACATACACAAGGAGTTGCATTGATGCTATCCAAACATGCACAAAAGGCACTGATAGGATGGGAATCTCATGGACCCAGGATCATTAAAGCATCCTTCAAAACAAAGAAACAGGACATTACAATGTTATGCACCTACCAATGACTACAATGACGACGTTAAAGATCAATTCTACGAAAGGCTGCAGTCAATCGTCGAGAAATGTTCACCAAAGGATTTGACGATTCTTATGGGAGACCTGAATGCCAAGGTTGGAATGGACAATACTGGATATGAAGACATCATGGGATGACATGGACTGGGAGAAAGGAACGAAAACGGTGAGAGATTTGCAAACCTATATGCCTTCAACAAACTGGTCATCGGTGACACAATATTCCCACACAAACGCATTCACAAAGCCACATGGATTTCTCCGGACCACAATACCCAGAACCAAATTGACCATATCTGTATCAACAACAAGTTCAGAAGGACCATGGAGGATGTGAGAACCAGGAGAGGAGCTGATATAGCTTCAGATCACCATTTGCTAATCGCCAACATGAAACTGAAACTAAAGAAGCACTGAAAAACGGGGCAGATAACATCACAGAAGTTTAATATGGCCTTTCTTTGGGATACCGTAAAACTTAACGAATTCAAATTAGCCCTCACCAATAGGTTCCAGGCCTTTCAGGATCTACTCAATAGAGAGGACGCAACATTGGAGAACAATTGGAAAGGGATTAAGGAGGCAATCACTTCAACATGTCAGGAGGTCCTTGGTCGCAAGAAACACCATCACAAGGAATGGATCTCTGTTGGTACTCTTGAAAAAATTGAAGAAAGGAGGAATAAGAAGGAATTAATCAACGTCAGCCGAACAAGAGCAGAGAAAGTTGCCGCACAAGCTGCATACACAGAAGCAAACAGGGAAGTAAAGAAGAGCATCAGAGCTGACAAACGGAAATATGTGGAAGATCTAGCAATGACGGCGGAAAAGGCTGCAAGAGAAGGAAACTTGAGACAATTGTATGAAACAACAAAGAAGCTCGCCGGGAACTATCGTAAACCAGAACGACCAGTGAAAAGCAAGGAAGGCAAAGTAATCAGTAACACTGAAGAACAGCGAAATAGGTGGGTAGAGCACTTTAAGGAACTCCTGAATGGACCAGCTCCGGCAGTAGCCCCTAAGGTTCTACTGGCGGAGTTATTATACCCTGTAATCGGTTTTTAAAATTTTGGATATCAGGTACTGGAAACCTATCTGATGTGGTTTGAATGTTGAGGGCTCTGTAATCCCCACGCGATCCCGATTCAAGGCTTTTATTTTCAATTATCGGTACTCGATTTTACTTAGTGTTTACTTTATTATGGGGTTCAAGAACCGAATCCTCGTTTTTTGTGTGAAGCGGATATGGTGAAACGAAATCAAAGATGAGAGAGAAAAATGGCGGAGAGTCTCATTGACCCATCTTATGAAGACGGACTGAGACGCCTCAACCTATCTGAAAAGAGTTCCTAAGGAAGTTCAAAAAATGGGGATCAAATTGTTGACATCTGGCGTTCCGTTTTTTTCATTGAGTAGTGAATTACTAGAATTCTCTACTTGGACACGTATCGTCAGTATCTTCTTCCGATAAACTTAGTAAGAGGTTAGATCTTTATAGTACTATAAGTTGCATGGTTAATATAGATTGACTGATCTCTTATGATTACTACCGATGACTAGTTGTGATTAAGGTTCAATATCTCATATTACTCGCTACCTTTGTTTGTAAGCACGTTCACTTTAAAGCCGCTCTCTGTGGATGAGACATGCTTCAGTCTGCGAATGTAGGTTATTATGTTTTATTCTATCTATAATAGATTCATGCCCTTGCTTTGTCCAAAATAGTTAAGCCGGACAAAAAACCGGTCACCCCACTAGAAGAAGAAATTGCTCAAGTATGTTCATCTGTGTGCCTGGTGATCTTTTTAGGCCATCATTGACTTGCAGATTCACGATGATTGGTCCGACACAATGAAGCTCTTGTACTTTTGTGAAGCAAAAGTTTGTCGTTTAATTTATTATTTATGTGTGTCAGGAAATGACCATAGGTAAAGAAAAAGCAGTCGTTATATATGTACCTGTTCCACAACTTCGAACATATCAAGTCATACATAACAGATTGGTAGGGGAGCTCGAGAAAAAGCTTCGAGGTCCTCATGTTGTACTCTTAGCTTTTCGAAGGATCATAGCAAAGCCGAAAAGAAACTGCAAATTTAATCCGAAACAAAAGCGTCCTAGAAGTAGGACCCTAACAGCTGTGCATGAAGCTATATTAAAAGATCTTGTCTATCCAGCTGAAATTGTTGGTAAACGCATTCAAGTCAGATGTGATGGGAGTACGTTAATCAAGTGTCACTTGGATGTCGCGCAGAGAAACTACATAGAACATAAGGTATGATTTGTGTACTGTTAACACTTCGTTTAGCTCAAAACCATCACAGGTTTATACAAAAAGTTGACTGGGAAAGATGTCCAGATTGAGTTTCCGGATTGGGTATTGTAAAAGTATGTAATATATTTCTAAAAATGGACTATTTTGTTCTCAGTCTGTTCCTCCGCAATCTCGTCTTAAGGGTGGTTTTAAAGTACTAGGGCTGTTCATCTGTGTTATTTCCTTGAGATCAAAAGGCGACCAAAATTTCCTGGCAATTTAAAACCTTACAGCACTGAAAAGCTGTTTCGTCCCAAGTCTTAATGATTGGCAAAGTTACACCAGTCCATGATTTTAATGATATTCAACGGTATTCGTAGTCTCGTATTAACATGTAGCATTTTTACAAAATCGTAGCTGTTTTATAGAGTATCAAAACAGCATTCAAAGATTGCTTCTTATAAGTTGCTTATTCGGCCACCTCACTAACATATTAACTAGAATCCCGTCTTTCTAGCAGGTTAATTTATATGGAAATTGATTTGTTTGCTAATCGGTTTTCACTGTACTTGGCGAGTTAAATCGAAATCTCTCAACTAAGTTCGACTATCTACTGATGTTTCAGATGGTAGTAAACATTGCAAGCGGGTTTCTGTATCTAGTAGTAGTGGATCACCGATGCTTCCAGTTATGAAATTAGGTTCAATCAACAAGGAGTATTAGTAAGTTATAGTGAAGTATATTTCGAGTCTCCAGTTAGAAAAATTCATGGGAAGTCCTTGACCAGTTCAGCCGATAGCAAATATAAGAATTTGACTACTCGTTAAGAGTAGGAAGTGTCCACTGTTCATAGGGTTCGGACTGATTTTGCGGCCAGCGCATTCTTTTAATTTTAAGTGGAAGGAAACTATTTCTATACCATAAATTGAATCGTAACCTGAACTAATTTACGTACGTGCGAATTTCCACGACTTCACTAAATGCCTGACTCTAAATTGTGCTGAATGAGCCATTGAAGACGAGACGTCACTGGTGCAAGGTCTGCTCGGAAATTATTTCTATTACAGCTAGTTTAAAACGGAATCATCGGATATCAAGGCTCCTAGATCTTTTTTAAACCTCTAGAGAAGAGTTACATCGGTTTTATGTTTCAAGTGAACTACTACGAGCATTCTACCGGAAAAATTGTCTGGTTATATTTTATGGCAAACTTCCATCGGGATTGATTACTTCATGTGGTGTTCGTCACGGTTGTCCACTTTCCCCATTCTTGTTTAATTTTGTCATCGACGTGGTTTTATAAACGTCACTTTCATCATCTGACTTTTTAGGAGTTGAGATATCATCAGAAGATTCGTTTGTTGACTTAAATTATGCTGATAACGTAGTTCCACTTGGTGAAGACGCTGACAAAATCACTTAGTGTCGCGTGTGTATACACTTTGTTTTCTTTCATGGGCTCAAGAGCTTTTTTCGCCTTTTGAATTTATCTCACTGGATTTTACACTTTGAATAATATCCGAACTCTAATTTTATCCGTTGCTCCTAATCCTGCTACTACATCAACCACTATGTGATTTGAATTGACAATTCGATCTCATTGTGATAATATGGAATGGCAAGTTGAACTGATGTACGTACGTACGAAGTACTAAATTGTAGCTGACTGACTAACTTTGCTGCAAACGTGTTTCCTGGATACAGAAAGCTCGGTTGGCTTTTGCTAGGTTGCGTCACTTATGGCGTAGGCGAGATAGTTCGCTAACCAAAGTACGGGTGTACTGCCCAGCAGTTCGCTCCGTTCTCCTATATGGATGCGAAACATGGCCGTTAAGAGTAGATGTTCGTAGGTTACTAGTATTCGATCATAGGTGTATCAGAAGCATTGCTCGTGTATCATGGGATAACCGAGTTAGCAATGCTGTTGTTTGGAAAAGAGTTTTATGTAATGTTGGCAGGTCGAAAGATGAAATATTGAAACTTCATCAGTTGAGGTGGTTGGGACATTTGTTTCGTATGCCTGACCACCGACTGCCGCGATGAGCTATGTTTTGTGGTGTAGGAGTAGGTTGGGAGAAAGTAAAGGGCGACTAGACCGAAACATGGCAGAAATCCATGAAGTCACTGACAAGTGGACTGAGTCATGTTGGTAGATGTAGACTACCTGGTTGGGGTCCGCGAGAAGAAAGTCACCGATGGTTAGAGACCTTGAATGACATGGCTCGAAATCGTCTGCAAAGGCGCAGGTGCATCCATTTGTTGTGCTCCCTCAAATCCTAAACTTCTGGATTCGTCAGCACCTCTACCTTTGTCTTTCTAGCCTTATCTCACTGAATTGCACTTCTTGAATAATATCTTCAAACCCTAGTCTTCTTCATTACCATTAATACCTCTACTATCTTTATCACTATTTGATTTGACATTTGCGTCTCTGTGTTAATGTGGTGTGGCAACCTGAACTTATGTACATACGTATAAAGTTCTACGTTGCAACTGACTGAGACCTATGACTGATCTTTTGTAGTACTACCAGTTCGGCTAATACTCACATTTAACTAGTATTTCGCGGTCCTAATGTTGTGTGTAATCTTGAACTGATACACGTAAATGCTGGGTTCGTTATTGTGCGTAACCGACTAACCTATATGTTTGAAAATCTTCATTGACGTCACGAGTAATCCAATAATAAATATGTAATGACTTATGATTACTTGTTGGTTTGTTTCTATCCTGTGAATTTCGATCGTATGTAGGAGTAAATTATTAAACACTAAATTATGTCGAACATTTATTGCACTAGATTTCATGATATGGCATATGAGTACAATAAGGTTTAGCCCTTTGCAAGCTCAGCAGTCTATGCAACAAGTAGTTATTACTAACAGGTTATTGATACAAATCTTGTTTCTGCAGTTAGTTAGTATCACTAGCCCTTTTGAGACTAACTAGTCGCTGAGTACTTAAGCATCGTGTCTTCAAATGAATTATGTTATTGATTCCATCCTCATCTCATGACAAATTCTGTGACAACCGCACATGTTTAGGTTCGTTGACGTGTTTTCATTCACAGTCATTAACTCAGCTTGTGTGTGGAAACCTTCAGGTTTCACCTACACCTATGCGAGTAACTTCACAATTACTCACTTGATATTTTCCCCATCAGAGAACATCTATGAAAATTTTTGAGACCATGAAATTACTTGGTAGGAACTATTCTCAGTATATAATCACTTTCAACGGTATCCTTGGTGCAGAAACTGACGGGAACTAGATGAGCTTTCTTATTACGGCTGATGGGACTGAAGATATCCTACTATTCCACAAACTACAGTTGAGCTAGGCATCAATACAAACCAATAAAGAAATACTTTGGATCTAAAGGGAAATTAATATATCCAATATATTTCTGAATTGTTATTATAGGCGTTTAAGTCTCCCGTTACTCTAATATTTTTATAAAGATTTAAACCTGTCTATGCTTCCACACGTGGATGTAAATACAGTTCACATTTAAATTTGTTAGACAGTACCATTTACCTGGGAAAGGGGTTCAAATAGTTTTTTTTTTCAACAGATTTTTCATTGTAATGAACAGGTCATGTCTAATTAGTTTGTTTGTCGATATGAAATGCGATAATTTCGTCATTCATGTGTTCAGATAATTTCGTGCTTATTTTCTTAAAATCCTTCTATAGATTCTACTTTACAAAGGATATCAAATTATGATAGTACCATAAGCTGGATTTTAACCTTCAATAACCAGAGTAAAAGCGTTCTACTGTTGTAGTTTCTACTCTATGACTGAAGAAAACGGTATACATGTTTCATTTTGAAACAGTATTTACTTTATTTCAATAACTTTGAATAAGTGATAAACTAATACACTAGTCAACTGTCATCTTTCTCAACTTACCTATGGGTGAATATTTGGACGCCATTATTAGCTTATTATTGGAGGAACACGCATCGCTGTAGCAATATTTTCCACGATTTAGACTATAATTGACAGTACTTAATTAACCGGTGTTCTCCTACTCCCTTAGTCAAAAGCATATCGGTAACCGTGATTTGGGTTAATAGCATTACTCTACACGTATAACTTTGTGTAGCAGTTCTTTTAAGGCTCACATATAGATGTATGCAAGATGATAGGCGGATGTGTCGTTTCAACTGAGATTATACTGTGTTTTTCCAATCCTTGATAAGCAACAGGGAATATTGTATGCATATGAATTGATCCATTGATCGCCAGACTATAACACACTGAGAAGGAATCATCAAGGCAAACTTTAGAATAATAGAGGTAGTAAGGTCATCATTGATGAAGAAAAAGATTAGGCAAAGGCTCATTGATTCGAAAGCAATAAGCTTGCTGCATAGCGAGTACATCTTTTACCTTGCCTACGCTCCCACTGACTGCAGTTCAGACAACGTAAAAGAAGAGTTTTACAGAAAGCTTTCGGACCTCTAAAAAGCTAGACGCTCTGATATAGTTATAATGGCTGGTGACTTCAATGCTCAAGTAGGTAGACTCAGTGAAAAGGAAAGACACCTGGGTGGATGTTGTGTTGTCGTGGCTCAGAGAACCGCCTATTTCTAGCAAACACTAACTTTGGGCATAAGGAAAAGCATCTGGCGACCTCCGAAGTTGCCTCAACAATGGACCCAACTAGATCACATCGCCATCATCCACCGATGGAGGGGTTCGGTAGCAGACTGCCGCTCGTTCTGGGGCACATGTTTATATTCAGACCATTTTTGTTTGAGGCTTACTGGACGTAGGAAAGGCACCGTCAGGAAGCCTCATAGGGTTTTACTTGATAATAAAGCAAAGAAAATATTTCACGAGCAACTAGAAAGAGAGGCAATCATGTGAGCGATTTGCACCTGGAATCAGGTTGGAATGATATCAAAAAGGCTGTGGAAACAACAGTGATATCTGCTAGTAAGGTAAACCATATGGCTAGGAAGAATGGTCTCAGTAGCATCTACTGAACTGATGGATGCTCGAAAACTCATCTCACATGTTTCTAAACATGATGAAGAATGAAGTCAGCTTGGGCGCAGACTGATAAAAAGCCTACGAAACGACCGTGAACAGTGGTGGGTGGCAAAAGCGAGAGAGATGAAAA